GAGCCCGAGAGAAATATGTGCTGGTCGGAGAGGCAAACCATATATGGTAAAATAGTTATCATGGTCCAACTGTTTGATCTCCGGTATGAGATCGGGTTTTCACTTGTGAAGAACATTACCATTTCGACCCTGTCGGGCGTCATAGCTGAAGATGGTTGTACACGAACCCTCTTTCTCTTCGATTAGCAATTAGTGCTGTCAATTGTCAATGCCAAAGAGTACGTAGTGAATATGTGGGGGGGCAGTACGCAGGTGCGCTGGTATTTACGCTTTGTTATGGTTATATATGCTTCATTATGCCCGTGCACGCACGTCATGTCTTGTGACTGGTGCCGTAAACAAAATGTGACTCCGTAAAAACCCGAGGGTTCCTCGCGGTTGGTACCGCGGAGCTTGATGTTTTATGCAGGGACATTGTGACGGAGTGGCTTAACCGCTCTGTAAAGAAAACGCGTGTAAGGATTGTTGGGAAACCTCACGGGGCGGAGTGGGTACTGCTGGTTTTTTTTTGGAGCCCGGTTCTGAAGCAAGCATTGAGGCGATTATATTTGGCGAATAGGATGTCCGCGTGCTCGTTGAGACACGCGCGTGCAGGCAGTCTATGTCAAGATAACGAACATATGGGTGACCTTCCTCTCAGGATCTTATGTCGTTCGCTTAGGAGAAAAGTGCCTGAAAACGTACGCACTGAATCCTCAACAAGAGTTGTTAGTTTGGCCAATTAAATGACGGTCCTTTCGCTACCTTGCTCTTAGTTGGTTTGTTTTGTGGCTTTGACCAATCAACATAACCCTTCGTCCAGAGGAGGGGCGGGAAGTGTTGGCGGCTGCCCTGCTCTCGGATCGGCGAATTCACCGTCCGTAAGTACGCTAAGAACGCACACCATCACCTAAACTTGCTTTGTGGATGTGAAGACGTGTTCCTTTTTCGATATCTGTGTTCTGCATGTCACGTTTTGTGCCTTGCGTGAAAAAAATGTTTCGGTGCTAAGCCGGTTGGTTGCCTACGACTACGAGTTCTATGGAGACCGTGAACCGCGTAGGTACGATATCGATCAATAAGCCCTGTCACGGAAGCAAGAGATAGAGCCTGGCTTTGCGCCGGTCGCCGCTCACGCATCCTGTGTTCCCGAGTATGAAGAAGCAAAGGTGGGAAGAAATCTCGGAAAGGGCGTGATGTTGCGACAAGACCACTAGATGTCATTGCTCGGTGTTGCTAGTTTTGAAGCCAAAAATTCAAAATACATCGTGACGCCTCCCGTCCCGCGCACCCGCCTGGTTTCCTCTGCGTGTGTGGAACGTCATGCTGCCACACCACCCCGTGATAGGCCATTTTGTTCCCGATTTTAGCGTTTTCGTCTCTGCCATCCACGTTGCCTTTGTTTGTGTTCGTACCAGATCGTTCACGAGGCAAACAACGTCCCCAACAGTCAGGGGTGGGCCTTTGTTCGCACAAGTCGACCCTGTCCAACTCAATTTCTGGGCGTACTAGTAATGTCTAACGACCCTCCCCACAAGTAGCATCAATGCAGCAAGGCTTTCATTATTACTGACGCTTCATTTAGTTGAAAGAGGTCCTACAAGAATTTTACCCAGCAAAGGCTAACGTTTGCCGACCCTGAAGAACGACCATATTTATGAGTCTCCCAGCGCCTCGCGGTCTCCAACAACCAACCTACAAGCGGTAGATATCCTACGTACAGCTACAGGGGGAACTCGTGGTATTGCTGTTACTCCAGCCAGTAGAGGGGGATCCCCAAAAAGCCAATCGGTATTGAGGTATTAAATATTCAATGGTCGTCTACATCATAGACCGGAGGTAGATCCTCTCTCAGATCATCCCCCAGGAGCAGCCTCCTCAGGGTGAGCGAGGGGAGGCCGTGTGCCACCAAGCCCTGCGGAAAGGGGAGAAGGGAAGATCAGTGGGTGTTTTGCCGCGATTTACTTTTTTACTACTTCCCGGGACCAGTGTTGCCAAAAATCAGAAGGCCTTGCGAACCATCACTAAACAAGAGGGCCACACTACACGCCTCGATCGGCACGATATATCTCGACCAATAGAGCTTGAACCCCAGGTGTCACGTCGAGGGTCCCAGCTGCAGGTGCGAGACACAAGGATGGTTCATGGTGTTGGTAGTCGAACCTCTCCCGTCAGATGATGTGTGTGTGTTTTCGTCCTATTTATTATGGCGACAGGCCCCCCATTTTTCGTGGTGAGACGTGTACTACACTTTTTCAGCGTATGTAGAGTACTACAGTTTTATACTTTTTCAGCTTATGTAGAGTACTACACTATTCAGTGCATTTTTTCGTACAACTACAACCATCCAGGGTCACAGAGGAGGGGGTAAATAGACACCAGGGCATTTTTTCTTCGCCCCACCTTCCTCCTGCAGTGCGTGCTGAATTTTATTTTTATCGCGAGAAGGGTCCAGCCGTCCCTTTCCCTCGTCAACGGTTCTAACGTCCAAGTTTGGTACTCACGAGAGCTTGTCAGCTATATTATTTCGCTATCACCCGCACATTTCGTAAAGGTTTCACCCCATGGGGATTCGAACTCACGACCTCTGCGACTAGCGGATTACGAGGATACCACTAGATAGACCACCGGGGTGACCGGTACCAAGCCCCAAATATTCCTCCTCTTTTTCGCGCCGAATCGTTTTCTTTTCTACATTTCCCCTCCCTAGATCATGTTGTGCGGGGTGAACCCTCGCTCCGTGCAAGGGGGATCATCGCACCACGTTGTGTTAAAATGGTCAAGCACCCTCCAGGCAGTTACACAGTGCTTACAACTGTCTCTGGAAGTGAAAGCACCA